CTCTCAGCAGATGACAATTGAGGTTGTTGCTAACGGGCCACTGGTAGAAGAGTCACGCGTTTTGGTCTTTCAAGTAAGACTCTGTATAAGTTGTTCAGTTTATCAAGCAGACATCTGTCATAGAATGAAAGAAGCAAATATGGAAGTTCACAGACACAAACATTTTGAGTTAACTTGCATTTCAATGTCTTTTTTCAGTGTGTACATTGGTTAACAGAACATAAAAAAAATAATCCTGCAGTGAGTTTCTGGACACACATATATGAAGAAAATCCTTATAAAAATCTCAGAAAAACATTTATGGGACAAACTAGTATACCAGTTCCCTGTTTTATATTTCAGTCTTCACCCAAGCCAAGAGCACTTGCTGATTATGAACAGATGGTCCACAGCAATTCATAACGTCTCTGGAAGACTGCTACAGTCTGACACATTTAACTATCAATGCTGTGTGGGTTGCACTGTACACTTCATTTTCAATGACTAAAACACCACCTTTAATTTAAAGTAATTACATCTAAAAATGTGAATTCTTGTTCAGTTGTGCCTAAATTTTCAAAACTTCAAACTAACTTAAAAAATAAGAATGCATTCATTGATTGATTACCAAAAATAATTCAGAATTATCATTTTTATCACTCGAGTCAGTGCCTGTGGTTGAGTGATTATGTACTAATGTTGTGTAATTTATGAGGAAAAAGAAAATGATTACCTAACCTTTTTAAATAATGTTTTTAACTTTCAATACTAAATATTCTTCACTCTACTGACAGTCCTTGGCGAAGGAATACCACAGGTTATAATCATTTTACTGATGACATGGTATTGGAGTCTCTTTTAACACATCCTTATCTAATATACAGCGTTTCCCTGTGATAAGTTCTTCACCAGACCAACAAAAAAAACTTTTTAAAGGTGAACACTTCTTTAGGGGAAATGTGAAATAAGATTAATTTTTTGGATCCCCATTTGTATTTTGAACCCCAGCAAATGGTTTCATAATATTCAAATTACAGATAAATATGCATCATCAGGGTAAATTGGAAACACAGTGGCAACATCAGAGGTTTTTTTTTTACTTTAATGCTAATGGAGAGTGAATAAAACAGAAATCATAATGGCCAACCTAAAGATAGTAAAAAATAACATAAACATCTGAACACATGTTGCATTAAGATTTGCTTCCACTTTTTGTATAATGTTAAATTTGTTATGTATATCAGTGTGATTATAGATGGGGGCTGGATTGGTGACTGGATTTATTGACCACTTTTAACATACGACTCCTGAGTAAACTTAATTATAGTGCCATCGCTATCTCCACTTTACAAATCACTACATCCATGATAAGCCTTCTCAGACTGCTTTCACTAGTCATTTCCCAGCAACGGTTCTTAACAACAAAGATTCTTCAGCTTCTGAGCACATGCTGTTACTGTCTGGTGAATATCCCACAAAGAACTCTTGCACCAACTGATTAACTCCCACGCTGGCGGCCATCTCACACCAACCTCCTGCTCTTCTCTTTGCAGACTGACTTACATCTCAACTAACTACACTCTGAACATGTTCTGCCTATAAAACCTGAGCAAGGACCTCGCAGAAAACACCACTCCTCATTGTTGTAGTTCACTTACTGCCATGGGAACACGTTTCTTTGCGAAGCTGTTACTCAGTAATGGCTGCCATACATTTCCTTATTCACTGTCGCTGCATAGCAGCAGGCATTGTTTGTAGTTTTTATTTAGCAACAGGTCTACATATGATGATGCTGAAGGTACAGTAGTAACAAAGGTTTTAGTAAAAACAAAGAAAGTTGTACAGTTCTGGAAGAAGACAACATAAATTCAGAATTGTATACATATGCAAAATTTTCTCTGGAACGTCTATAACTGTAATGAACCCTATGCCACTGAAGAATCCCAAATGGATGAAGAAATGCAATAGTACTTCCTATTTTCAAAAGAGATAAAAAGGATACACAAAACTGAGCAGCAATACATACATGACTGAACAGTTTAACAAGAGATGTCATCTGTTGCTAGGCAATGACACAGTAAACATGATCTTGTCTTCAAACAAGCGAGCCATCGCTAGATAACAAACATGCAACAGTATGAGAGCTGCTGGAGGCAGTGTTCTCTACACAGTCCGACCTGAGGTAACATACACTATAATGAGATCCTACAGAAGAAGCCAGTCAGTTGCGGGATAGCAGCCATCCAATGAGGACGCAAGTACCAAAGCAGAGGAATATCCATTGCTGGGAACTGTTAGCTAGCTATGTGTGATGGAAACGTCTGGAGCAGTTATTCAAAGTATGTGTAGATCTGTGAAACTTATACTTACCTGTGGTTACAAGTTACAAGTATTCAGTGCATCCAATAATCAATCGCAACCCTGTGTCTCATCATTAGGGGCTGGATTTTAATGCAAATGCATATTTCTTTCTTGCAACCAGAAAGTATGCTCGTTTGGATATATGTATGAATTACTTCATTTCTAAAATTTTGGACATGGTTTGATGGTGCATATAAATACATATTTTGCCTGTTTTATGAATAAGCATCATATTTTCGAAGATCTCTATTTGTACTGCATATTTCCTTTTTAAAATGTTTATCTATATATTTTTTAATGTTATGTTCAAATTTTCAATCATGGTCGTGTGTATACAATTTTTCTTTTCTGTAATGGAATATGTTGCATATTTGACTCAACATTTCATCATGATTCAGGTTTCTGATGCAATACCCAGGATGGGACTTCCCTGATCCCTCTACTCGTAACTTGCCTCATCCGCGTACCATCAAAGTGGCCGCGAAGAGATTAATTGGAAGCGTTCACATGTAGCCACTGTAGCGTTTCTGCCACTTTTCAAATGCATCCTGAAGTCTTTCTTTGTTAGGGTGTTTAGTACCATCTGCGTTTCTGCTTGAATTTCCTCAACTGTATCAAATCTTCGCCCCTTCAACTTGATTATTTAATCTTGGGGAAGAGAAAGAAGTCGCATGGAGCTAAGTCTGGCGAGTATAGTGGATGGGGAACAACTGCCATCTTGCTTTTAGCCAAAAATTCCTGCACAATGTAAGCTGTATGCAGTCGTGGGTTGTCATGGTGGAGTATCCAGTGGTGCGTGTGCCACTTCTCTGTATGTTTTCTCCTCATGTCCTCCCTCAAACGCCTTAGAATATCGCGATAGAACTCTTTATTGACTGTCTGACCAGGAGGGACGAAATCCTTATGAACAATCCCGTCAATATAAAAAAAAACAGATCAACATGGACTTAATGTTGCTCTTGACTTGTCGAGCTTTTTTTGGCCGAGGTGAAGAAGGGTTCTTCCATTGCGACGATTGCTGCTTGCTTTCAGGGTTGTAGCCATAAACCCAACTTTTGTCACCAGTGACAACCTTTGAAAGAAAGTCTGGATCCTCTTGAAGCTGTTGCTGAAGTTCCCTGCACACTTCTGAGCGATGCTGCTTCTGTTCATTTTGCAGCAGTTGTGGCACAAACTTCGCCGCAATCCTCCTCATGCTCAGTTCCTCTGACAAAATTCGTTGACATGTACCATAACTTAGTCCCAAGGTGTTACGGAGGTCTTGGATGGTCAGTCTATCATCTTGCAGAATCAGATCCCTAACTTTCGTGACATTTTCTGGTGTTTTCCCGTTGACGGCCGTCCCGAACGATAGTCATCATCAGTCAATGTTCGGCCACTTTTAAAACGCTTATACAAGTTGTAATTTTGTGTCTGGCTTAAACTGTTTTCACCAAAAGCTTGCTTCAACATTTGGTGCGTTTCTGCAGCGGTTTTCCCAAGTTTGAAACAAAACTTTATACAGACACACTGCTCTCTCAGGTCAGCCATCACAAAACCGCAAACTCACAGAAACACAACAATGGAAATACGTTCACCAACAATACACCCAACCACTTAACTCGACGCCGCTTGCAACACTGATTCAAGAAGGATGTGTGAGGAGACACCTAGCGGTATTTCGATGTACTCATAACCATTCGCGCGCAAAATTCAAATTTCGGTAACTTTTGGATTGCCCCACGTATCTGCTCACTTCTCTCATCTTCCCTCTGCCATTTCCTCACTGGAGGCAAGCAATAGCAATACTACTTTGAATCAGTCGTTAAGTGTGTTCAAAACCACTGTTTCCAAATTGAATTCAGTCGTGGAAGAGTTGAAGTAGTAAAGGAAAAAGTATACAGCATTCTTTCAAAACGTCCAGGATATGAACAAATTCGTGAAATTGAAGAAATTTTAACTGGTACTGAACTACCATGTAAAAAATCACTAACAGTGGAGCAAATAGCGGCTTTTGTACATGCGCCCCTAAGTTCCTGTGAGGTGGGAAAAAGTTTTTCCCGCTATAAGGACATCCTATGAGACAATAGGAGGTGACTAACTAAGGAAATCCTAAAACATTTAGTAATTGTGAACGGCAACAGAAGAGAAGTTGAAAGTTCGGAGAGCTAAATGTGAGTACCGTTGGTTTTTTAAATTTGTAATGAAATATGTTGACTTTGTTGCATGATTTGTATTTAAGTATAGCTTTTTATTGCAAGTGAATCATTCAGTGATTACATAAAATGAACTTAAATATTGATTTGTTGGTCTTAGAATTACGTAAAATCAATTTTAATATTTGGTATAAATTTTTATGCGCATATTTCAGAAGTTTTTCATGCATAAATGCATACATATTTAAGGGATTATTAGGGAATAAAAATCCAGTCCCTACTCATCGCTAAATTTGAATATCTTAAAAAACATATTCAAACAGGTTAAACAAGCAACTGGAAAAAATTCTGAAGAGTTTATATCTGAAGCCCAAATGGTTTTAGAAAAAACTGCTCATGCATAGACTTCACTTTTCTGTTGTTTTAATATCATTTTATAGTTATCCAGTTCCACATTATTGATCTAAATAGCATAAAAAATTCTTATACCCATGTTCACTTACTAATCACATTATTCTGCCTTACTTGCATATTTCTCCAGTAACTGCTTAAGTATAGGGTCTTCTGGGAATGCAGATGTCACTGAAATTTCTTCCACATTTACATCAACTGATGTTTTATCAAAATTTAAAATTATTTTGGAGAAATGTCGAAAATCTGTTCCACTTTTGATTATATACTTTCCATTGACCTGTGAAGGAAAAACTATATATAGCCACATAAATACCAAATAAATCTGAAAAAATTATTAGGTATATATATGATACACACTATGAAAAAGAATACGTTAACAACTAGGAATGAGTGCAGAAGAAATGCAGACTAAACCCATGTATAAAGCAAATATTTGAAGTGACAAACAGATAAGATGATGGGTTAGTAATATGCAGTTATCAGAATACTCGATGAGATTTTTCTGATTGGATTAACTGATAGATTGATGTAACTGCAATGGTTATATGCTAATATTTGCTCATTAAAGAATGTAAAAAAAAAAAGACTGAGGAACCTTGGTTCCCAGGATTAACGTTGAAAACGTTGGTTGAGTTCATTTAATTCACAAGCATCTTCGGAAATGTTAACCACATTTAAAAATGTTGGATAATGTTGTAGCATTTGTACAGGGGGGGGGGTCTGTATTAACTGCTTCAACCATCATTTGCTACGCAACATTTTGGTAAACACTGCCTGAAAGCCAGAATACAAACAAAAAAGCAGAAGTCCATTTGCTAGGCAAGGGCTTGCTAAAACTCATTCTCATGTCAACAAAGATTCAGCAAAAGTTTCCACAGATACAGGGAATTTTGGGATCACCAGGCATTTCTGCTACAATGGATACAGGGGACCAACAGCTTGTACTGAGTTCTCCCAAACTTATAAAAGGGAGGTGGGGTTTTGTCTCAGCAAGTCATGGATGCATCTCATCTGCTCTCTCAAGAAACCTCTGGAACATGACATCAGATCCACAAGGCTATGCAGGTAGAGGCACCACTGGCAGGCTATTGGGTCATTGCTCTCATGGTAACCTTGGCTTCACTTCCCCTGGCATGATCCTCCTTCTAACCGCTTCATTTTCTTGTACTCTCTCATGCATGCAGAATGACTATTACCAGCAGACATCTTATCAGTGTGACGTCATATGCTGGCAGCTTGCCTATACGATATTGCACCACCCACTAAACAGTGGAGTTGAATTAGCTCTAAACGGTAAGCAATGGACCTCATGACTCAAGGTACGCGGGTTCAAACCCGGCGGAGGTCGTGGAATTTTTAAGGGCAGAAAAATTCAGGGAACAAGTCGTCTGGGAGGGACTTTGAGCCATGGGTCCCGTGTCATAGATTTATGGCACGTAAAAGAACCTCATGTCTCTAGGAGACCTCTGAGCTAAATTTGGCCAAAAAGTTTCCCGCCCAAAGTAGTTTCCAATGCCTCCGGTAAATGGGGAAGTATTAGGTACCACTGCCAGAGAAGGGGCGACCTCTCTGACAGAAAGGGATTAACTATTAGATACCACTGCCAGTAGAGGATCGGAACCTCGCTGGCAGAAAGGGGCTGATAGCGAGCACCAGTACCGGTAGGGGATGGAGATAGTAGAAATTAAAAAGGGGGACGTACAACATACTATCAGTCGCAGTGCATGGGGACACCCATCCCCTCAATACTGAATAAGTAAACTGAATACTTAGTAGAGAAAGTATCAATAATTACAAAATGTTACATTTTCTGTTACTTATGGCTTCATCCCATTTGCACCCTCATATAATAACATTTTAAACATTAAAACACAAACTTTAAGAACGGTATTTATAACCAAACTAAACTGAATGCAGTACTAGTATTCCCTCAAATTTCATATATCCTACGACTCATAGTCTGCTGGAATTTGGTGTTATTTCTGCCATTATAGATGTACCTCACCAACATGCTCACCAGTCTCATTTGTGGAAACAGGATTCATGATATGAAGATCAGTTTCATATAAACACAGAAGAGGCATTAAGAGACAAATTTCTTACACCATAGCAGCTCTGTGATTGAAGTTACAGTTGCATGGCACATCACTGATGAGAGTTTTGATTCTTTCTAATCCTACTTAACATAAAAGAGAAGATACCTACCCCTCTAGAAACTGACAAGAAGATATTAACTGGAAGAATACTGCTTTCTTGAATGTCATCCTGTACAGTCTGGTATATGTTTACCAATGTTTTGGAGGGATGTGCTGCTTGATTTTCGGAATATAAAGCTTACTTTCCTACTCTGAAGAAGGAGGCAGCAGATTCCTCTGGAACATCAGTAAATATCTACCACAATACATGACATAACATCACAAAAGACAATACTGTCACTAGTTCAAGTCACCAACATAAGAACCTTAAATCTGCCATATTAAAATGAAATGTTCTTGTCTCATACAGTTTTCTTTCATGATAGAAAAAACTAGGAATCACACAATAGGAGTCACTTGCGATAATAAATCACTAAAATCAATAACTGGGAATTCAATGTTCAGATGGTTCATAATTGTACATCCTTCTATATGCACAAACAGTTGTGTAAGCATGAGAGTTATCAATGTCATTATGTAATTTCAGGTTACTACAGCAACACAGTGTTGAGTGTTTACATGTTGCATGGATGCAAGTTACATAGCAGGTCATGAAAGAGCATGCAGTCTTCTGTTTTAGGGTGTCACGTCTATTCTGTGAGTACTGATATTTTGATGTGGATATGCAAAGTGTGGTATACTATATAAACAAGAACATTTATAATTGACTGTAATTTGTGTACCTGTGGGAGATAGCATGATGCACTGACCTTAAAAAATTATTCAACAACATATAAGACAGGAAAGGAATACAGAAGGCAGAATTAACAGTACAATGCCTTTGAACTGTCAATGTCTGTTACACTAGAAGCATATAAAATGAAAGAAATTATGCCAGGCAAGAGAATAAAAAAGTAAACCTAGAGACAGACAAGGGAGAAGAGGATATTCAGAACATTCTGAAAGGAAACGGAAAAGAATGTGGTTGGTGTCTAATACCACACTCTTAATGATTAAGTCATTTGTGCTACTAACCTCAACTGATCAGTTATTTCTAAATAATTTTTTTATTCAGACACCACTTGGATAATTTATGATTTTCAAGTTCTTCCCACTCATTTGCCATAGGTCTCCATGACTGTGGGACCACAGTGTCATCTTGGAGCACAGTCAGGAACTTTGTAGGTGGACAAAATGGCATCTAATTTTGCCTTCACCCATTTCTTATCATGAGTGAAAGGTTCGTTTACATGTTATAAATATACTACATGGGATCCTCGGCTTTACTTCCCTTCTGAAGGGTTGTGCTATGGGCATTTATTGTCCTTAAAAATACATCCACCCTTGCTGGGTTTGAACCTTGCGTCAAATGCTAGCACATTACTAACTACATCACAACAGCAGACTATGGAATAGAATGCAATGAGGTCAAAATTCAAACCAGGCACTGGAAAAATGAGCGAACTCTTAATAAAGCCTTCAATATAAAGGCAAAATAAAATCATGTATCAACTGCAAAGATTTCAATTATTTCTTCAATGTGAAGATTAATATGGAGGTGGGTCTAGAAGTAAACATAGAGAAAATTAAGTATATGTTGCTGTCTCATCACCAAAATGCAGGGCAAAATCATGACATAACGATACAAAACAGATGTTTTGAAAATGTGGCACAGTTCAGATATTTGTGAACTGTGGCATATTTATGCCATGCAAGAACTGATGAGCCACAGAAATCTGTAACCACAGCGATTACACAATGAGGAAAGCGCTGTTTTCTCCATGCCGAGCCAAGCTGATCCAAGCCAAGCTCAGCCCAGCCGCACCACACTCATTGCTATGCAGCATTGCAGTAAACATCTCTTGGCAGCGTTGCCTAGCAACGTCTCTGTAAGCATGGTGATCACGCAACAAAAGGCAATGCATGGGTGGACATGCCTAACAACAATATATGATATCTGTTGCTGGATAGTGATATGTTTTCTGTGGGTGCTCCATGCCAAGCCCATATAGGGAGCAGTGATCACTGTTCAAGGGGATTCAACAGGAAGATGTCGTTCAAAGCAGCTTAGCTGTTGAGGGCCTAGTGACTCCTACATGGTTCAAGAGAAGAGTACGTGAGTAGCAAAGATAACGGACTGACAGACAGAATCCAACAGCAGAATCCCACAGGCTACAAACGAAGATTATACGTAGGTCATACCGAAAGTCATGAGCAACTTTTTTTTTGCATGCAACTTGGGAACAGCAGACAAAAGAGAGTATGGTGGTAGGTGGAACCAGCTGTTGTGTTAACCTTGAGTGTCTTGTGACATCAATAGCTTGCATCATGTGACCAGTATCACTCCTAACAAAAAGGCCGACAACCATATGTTGTTTCACCAGCATGCTGTCATCGAATGTCTTGTGAAAGAGGAAATCCCTGCTGCAGATATTCACCAGAGACTTCAGCGTGCTTATGGAAGTGTGTGCATGGGTGTGAGCAATGTTCGAAGATGGGTGACACATTTTAAAGATGGGAACACCAGCATCGAAATTGAGCCTCAGAGTGGTCGTCCTCGAACAGCCTCAACTGAACGCAACAAGGAAAGAGTGGATGAGATCATTCAAGATGACAGGAGTGTGACTGTGGACACAATAGCCCCAAAACTTGGAATAGGGCACAGTGCAGTACAAGAGATGATTGAAAGCTTGGACTACAGAAAAGTTTGTGCTCGTTTGGTCCCGCGGTTACTGACCGAAGACGACAAAGGTCAGTGAAAAGCCATCATCTCAGAACTGCTGCAGAGATATATCGACACGAAGACAGTGATTTTTTGCTCTGTATTGTGACAGGTGACATTTCGAGCCTGAAATGAAACAGCAGAGTATGGAATGGCACCATCTGCATTCTCCATCAAAAAAGAAGGAAAGGACAGTGCCATCAGCTGCGAAGGTGATGGGCACAGTCTTCTGGGAGGGATGCAGAGGGATTTATTCTGGCCGAATTCCTGGAACCTGGGCAAACCATCAGTGCTGCTCGTTATGTCCAGATGATGCACAAGCTCCGTCGTGCATTGCATGATAAACGTCCAGGACGAAACATCATCATCCTGCATGACAACGCTTGCCCCCACGCCACTCACCTCACATTGGAAGCAATT